TAATTCTGCCAACAGCCTGAGGAAACCTGGAAACGGATCCTTCTCCAGTTGAGCCTCTGATAAGTCTGCATCCCAGCTGACACCTGGACTACAGCCTCTGAGAGAGACTCTGAGCAGAATATCTAGCTAAGCTGTGCCCAAACTCCTGATCTGTGCCCAAACTCCTGAAACTGAGATAATAAATGTCTGTTTAAGCAATTAGCATCTGGGGGTCATTTGTTACACAGTATACAAAATTAGCATAACTATTTAAAAATCATATAAATCATTACAAAAATGATCATCCATTACAAACATGGGGGAAAGAAATGAACAAGCAATTTGGAAAACAAATGTAATTATCAACAAATACAATAAAAGATGCTCAGGTCACAATTGCTCCTGGGAATGCCAATTTAAAAAGTCTGATGTTATTAAATGTTTGTCAGGGTATGTAGAAAGAGATATTCTGGTGTTACTCTAGAGTTTCCACTTCTAGGCATCTACCTAGAAAAAATATGCACATAAGAAACAGACTGTATAGCTGGGTGCAGTGGCTCATACCTGTAATCCCAGCACTTTTGTAGGCCGAGGTGGATGGATCATGAGGTCAAGAGATCAGCACTATCCTGGCCAACATGGTGAAACCCCATCTCTGCTAAAAATATAAAAATTAGCTGGGCGTGGTGGCACGTGCCTGTAGTCCCAGCTACTCAGGAGGCTGAGGGAGGAGAATCACTTGAACCCAGGATGTGGAGGTTGCAGTGAGCTGAGGTTGTGCCACTGCACTCCAGCCTGGCAACAGAGCAAGACTCTGTCTCAAAAAAAGAAAAAAAAGAAATAGACTTTATTTAATCATTCCCCTACTAAGAGATATTTCAAGTGTTTCAGGTTCCTCTTTATTTGAAACACTCCAAACTCTGACTAGGGAACAGGCAACCTATCAATAGGAAGTTCAATATGAAGTTCCTGCATAAAACTCTCTGATAAAGGGCTTATATGAAAGCAGTGGCCAAAGCAGTCAACAATATAATATGAACAGTTTATATAGCCAGTCTCTAAGAGAATAACCTACCAGCCATCTAGTAAGTCAATAAGTAGTGTCATCACCGGTTATCAGGATACGTTCAATAAAATTGACAAAAGCATGAATTTCTATGATGCTATAACCACAGCTAACATTTATTGAGAGTTCATTACATGCTAGGCACTGGCCTAAGTGCTTTATGTGGATGATTTTATTCAATCCTCACATCCAGTGAAATATGCAGTCTATTATTTTCATTCTACAAGTGATAAAACAGTGGTTGAGAAAGTTAAATAATTTACCAAAGTCACACAGCTAATAAATAGTTGAGGCAGGATGTGAACTCAGGCAGTCTGACCCTAGCACCTACAATCTTTACTACTAAGCTACTGCTACTTTATATTTCAGGTAGACTTGTATATAAAATTAAGGTTAATCACCACTGCTCAATTATAATAGAGAACAATAATTAACAAAAATTTCTATGGAGCTCTCTGAGTTCGGAGAAACGGAAGGTTCGATATATACTATACCATAAAACCAATGAAGGTTAGAGCTGACCTCCTCCTTCATAATACAAAGAGAAAGCTACAGAAATGAGACCATATGAAAACGAACACAAAGGCCAGGTGTGGTGGCTCACACCTGTAATCCTAGCATTTTGGGAAGCTGAGGCAGGTGGATCACAAGGTCAGGAGTTCAAGACCAGCCTGGCCAACATGGTAAAACCCCGTCTCTACTAAAAATCACAAAAATGAGCCAGGCATGGTGGCAGGTGCCTGTAATCCCAGCTACTGGGGAGGCTGAGGCAGGAGAATCACTTGAACATGAGTGGCAGAGGTTGCAGTGAGCCGAGATCATGCCACCGCACTCCAGCCTGGATGACAGAGTGAGACTGCATCTCAAAAAAAAAAAAAGAGAGAGAGAAAAGAAAACGAACACCTAAACACTCATTCCTTCCACAAATTTTTATTGAGGGTCTACAATGTGCCATGCCCTATACTAGATGCAGGGTATTCAAAGGTGAACCAAAAGGATATACAGGTATTGATCGACTTACGACCTATGCAACCTACGACCATTCGACTTTACGACCACAATCGCTAGCCACAACTGCTCCGCGTCTGGCAGCGCAAACATTGCCCAGCTGGGTGTAGGACAGTGCGGACCAGCTTCCGGCAGCACTACCATCTCCGCGTGCACCATTGCAACTGTTATCCCAGACTCGGTACAGCAATTTGTGTTTTGTGTCTTGGATATTTTTCATCAAACCCCTCCCAATGAACTTCTTATACATTTCTAAGCAGTGGACCCAAACATCAAACGATTTGCAAGGATTGAACGGATGGCGCACGATGTGTTTTGTCCGTATCGTGAAATTTATGAAAAAAAAAAGAAACATACAATTCAGACAAAGCTCACCACATTTATGAAAAAACCAACTCCGGTAACCCCAACTGCTGCCTCAGATGACGACATCAACGATCCGCAGCCAAGCACCAGCGGCCAATAAAATGTTTCGTACATGTTTATATATTTTGACACGTTTTGCAATTGGGAAAATGTTTCCTATGGTATTTTTTACACCTGTATTTTGTATTTTTGTATGCACCTGTATTTTGTAATTTTGTATGTTTTGCAAATATTAAACCAGTTGTACTGGTAACGCAGTGTTTTACTGAAACCTGACGAATGTAAAAATAAGAAACAAAATGGTGTAGAGATGATATAAATGGCATAAAATGAACAAAGAAAATTATGATATATAACAATAATGAAAGAAAATTATGATAAAATATGACAAAGATTTTTATAACATCATTTCACAGTACTGTACATATAGCCTACTCAACTTACGACCAAATCGTGTTACGACCGGTCTGTCGGAACCAATCGTGATTGTAAGTCGAGCACTAGCTGTATGTGAAATTTTCAGAGTTAAAAACAAGTCCTTTTATTGTAGGCTTCTCCTTTTAGTCCCTTTTTCAGCTCTGCAAATTCAGCCAACAGCTACTGCCAGAGCTCTCATCTACTTTTATCTGTAGCTACAATCACAGTGATCTTTAGCAAGAGAAATAGTGGATGAGGAAACAGGGAAGAAATGTTTGTAGCCTATGATGATGCTTCCATAGTTTATATCCAGAGGACATATAGACATTCAGAGTTTTATCATCCAGGTGCTAGTTCAGCATCACAGCCCACCTAACTAAGTATACGAATTAACTTTCAGGACTATCAAATTTCAAAGACAGGCCTACAAAATGCAAGGCAATCCATATGTGGCATCAGTATGCAAGAGATGAGAATGTTCAAGTTGAAGAAAATAGCGTGTTGTCCTCTTAAATATTTTCAAACAATCTATATTAACTATGATAAACAAGAAAACCAAGTAAAAAGTACCATACCATTGTTTGACTGGTAAATTAAAAGTAATTTCCTGCCAGTGTCTCTGAGCTTCATAATCACCAAACATAGGGGGTTTTCCAGCACCTAAGATGAAAGGAAAAAAGGGCAAAATGACAATGTACTTTAGCATATCAGTGATTTTTATTTCTTTACGAAAATTGTCTAAATTAGAGAAGCAGTGTAGGTTACAGAAAGAACATAGGAGTTACCGAAAAAGTCAGAGAGATAAAGTCTGTAATCTTAGCACTGCTTGCACACTGCTGGTGTGGCATTGGGCAAATTACTTAACCTCCCTAAACTTCAACACATTAAAAACAGGACCAATACAGCTTCCCTACTGAGGACTACTGGAATAAATAAGAAAATGGATATAAAATGCCCAGCATAGTGCCTGGCACACAGTAAACTTTCAATAAATAGCAGCTATTGTTAACATTATAATCATCCCTCAGTATCTGTGGGGGATTCCTTCCAGGACCCCCACCTCCCACTACCACAGATACCAAACTTTGTGGATGCTCAAAATCATCCCTTATATAAAATGGCATAGTATTTGCATATAACCTCTGCTCATCCTCCTGTACACTTTAAATCATCTTTAGATTATTTGTAATACATAACAATGTAAAATGCTACGTAAATAGTTGTTATACTGTATTGTTTAGGGTAGGATGACAAGAGAAAAAGTCCACATGTTCAGTACAGGCTCAATCATCCTTTCTTATTTCCTGAATAGTTTCAATCCATGGTTCGCTGGATCCACAGATTTAGAACCCATGGATACAGAGGGCTGACTGTACTTAATAATAATTACAGCTAGTGCTCGACTTACGACCATAGTAGGGACCACGGACTGGTCGTAACACGATTTGGTCGTAAGTTGAGTAGGCTATATGTACAGCTGAAATGGTGCACGCGGAGATGGTAGTGCTGTCGGAAGCTGGTCTGCACTGTCATACGCCCAGCTGGGCAACGTTTGCACTGCCAGACGCAGAGCAGTCGTGGCTAGCGATTGTGGTCGTTAAGTCGAATGGTCATAAGTTGCATAGGTGGTAAGTCGATCAATACCTGTATATCCAAGTTTATTTTTACTTCATAAGGCTGTCAACTGTACTGCCCAAGATGTATCCTAAAATAATAACATGTGTATCTGCATTTTACAAAGGCCTTTTTTTTTTTGAGACAGCATCTTGCTCTGTCACCCAGTCTGTAGCACAGTGGCACAATCTTGGCTCACTGCAACCTCCACCTCTGGGGTTCAAGCGGTTCTCATGCCTCAACCTCCCAAGTAGCTGGGATTACAGGCATGTGCCACCACACCTGGCTAATTTTTGTATTTTTAGTACAGACTGGGTTTCACCATGTTGGCCAGGCTGGTCTGGAACTCCTGACATCAAGTGATCTGCCCGCCTCCACCTCCTAAAGTGCTGGGATTATAAGGCATGAGCCACCATGCCCAGCCATTACAAAGGACTTTTACAAACTACATATAAATAACATAAGGTCAAGAATAGGGTCAAAAACTGACTATATGTTACAAAGACATTAATTAGGTAAGGCTTTGCTGTCAAATAAGTTGTATAAAAACTGTTGGTCGCGAAGGCCTGCGGCGGGTGTTGACGCGAAGTGATTTCTGCCCAGTGCTCTGAATGTCAAAGTGAAGAAATTCAATGAAGCGCGGGTAAACGGCAGGAGTAACTATGACTCTCTTAAGGTAGCCAAATGCCTCATCATCTAATTAGTGACGCGCATGAATGGATGAACGAGATTCCCACTGTCCCTACCTACTATCCAGCGAAACCATAGCCAAGGGAACGGGCTTGGCGGAATCAGCGGGGAAAGAAGACCCTGTTGAGCTTGACTCTAGTCTGGCACGGTGAAGAGACATGAGAGGTGTAGAATAAGTGGGAGGCCCCCGGCGCCCCCCACCCGTCCCCGCGAGGGGGCGGGGCGGGGTCCGCCGGCCTTGCACTTAAAGAGAGCCAAATCAAGAACAAACTTCCATTCACAATTGCCACAAAGAGAATAAAATACCTAGGAATACAACTAACAAGGAATGTAAAGGACCTCTTCAAGGAGAACTACAAGCCACTGCTCAACGAAATAAGAGAGGACACAAACAGATGGAGAAACATTCCACGTTCATGGTTAGGAAGAATCAATATCGTGAAAATGGCCATACTGCCCAAAGTAATTTACAGATTCAATGCTATCCCCATCAAGCTACCAATGACCTTCTTTGCAGAACTGGAAAAAACCACCTTAAACTTCATATGGAACCAAAAGAGAGCCCGCATAGCCAAGTCAATTCTAAGCAAAAAGAACAAAGCGGGGGGCATCACACTACCAGACTTCAAACTATACTACAAGGCTACAGTAATCAAAACAGCATGGTACTGGTACCAAAACAGAGATATAGACCAATGGAACAGAACAGAGGTCTCGGAGGCAACACAACATATCTACAACCATCTGATCTTTGACAAACCAGTCAAAAACAAGCAATGGGGAAAGGATTCCCTGTTCAATAAATGGTGTTGGGAAAGCTGGCTAGCCATGTGCAGAAAGCAGAAACTGGACCCCTTCCTGACACCTTACACTAAAATTAACTCCAGATGGATTAAAGACTTAAACATAAGATCTAACACCATAAAAACCCTAGAAGAAAATCTAGGCAAAACCATTCAGGACATAGGTGTAGGCAAGGACTTCATGACCAGAACACCAAAAGCATTGACAACAAAAGCCAGAATAGACAAATGGGACCTAATCAAACTCCACAGCTTCTGCACAGCAAAAGAAACAATCATTAGAGTGAATCGGCAACCAACAGATTGGGAAAAAATTTTTGCAGTTTACCCATCTGACAAAGGGCTGATATCCAAAATTTACAAAGAACTAAAACAGATTTACAAGAAAAAAACCAACAAGCCCATTCAAAAGTGGACAAAGGATATGAACAGACACTTTACAAAAGAAGACATACGTGAGGCCAACAAACATATGAAAAAATGCTCATCATCACTGGTCATCAGAGAAATGCAAATCAAAACTACATTGAGATACCATCTCATGCCAGTTAGAATGGCGATCATTAAAAAATCTGGAGACAACAGATGCTGGAGAGGATGTGGAGAAATAGGAACACTTTTACACTGTTGGTGGGAGTGTAAATTAGTTCAACCATTGTGGAAGACAGTGTGGCGATTCCTCAAGGACCTAGAAATAGAAATTCCATTTAACCCAGCAATCCCATTACTGGGTATATAACCAAAGGATTACAAATCGTTCTACTATAAGGACACGTGCACACGAATGTTCATTGCAGCACTGTTTACGACAGCAAAGACCTGGAACCAACCCAAATGCCCATCGATGATAGACTGGATACGGAAAATGTGGCACATATACACCATGGAATATTATGCAGCCATCAAAAACGATGAGTTAGGGTCCTTTGTAGGGACATGGATGAACCTGGAAACCATCATTCTCAGCAAACTGACAGAAGAGCAGAAGATCAAACACCGCATGTTCTCACTTATAGGCGGGTGTTGAACAATGAGAACACATGGACACAGAGAGGGGAGCACTACACACTGGGGTCAGTTGGGGGGAAATAGGGGAGGGAGGGTGGGGGGTGGGAAGCTGGGGAGAGATAGCAAGGGGAGAAATGCCATATGTAGGTGATGGGGAGGAAGGCAGCAAATCACACTGCCATGTGTGTTCCTATGCAACAATTTTGCATGTTCTTCACATGTACCCCAAAACCTAAAATGCAATAAAATAAATAATGGGAAAAAAAAAAAAACCTGTTGGTTTATAGTTTGATTTTTTTAATTTTGAAATTGCAAATAAGGGATAATGGACTTGTAATACTTGATAGTACTTACTATATGCCAAATACAACAACTGTTATGAAATAGGTATTATCATTATCCCCACTTTACAGCTGGAAAAACAAAGGCAATGGCCATTCCAGTATTAAGTAGGAAAGTCTGGATTTGAATCCAGGCAGACTAACTTCATAATCCATGCTTTTAGCTGCTATTCTGTAATACCTCATAACGTGGTTAAATAGTTTTAAATCATTTTAAATGATATAAAGGTATCTCCATTTAATAAAGAGTAAACACCCACTCACTCTTATATCTAACAGTTGACTATAAAATCGTGAGAAGACCCAAAGAGGTACAGTATAATCACAGCTTATTAAACTGGCACGTAAGGTAAAAATCACATACGGTCAAATATACTCATTAATCCATTAGGAAAGTGTGCCACATTGAAGAATGGCACTGAAATCCGATCTAGATTTTTTCTAGTTTTAGAACATTACATGAAGTAAAGTGTTTGTATTTAATTGTTTAATTATACCAATATTCTTTAAATGCTATAATCTCTATCTAAGAAGATACTGCCACTATGAGATAATGATGGGAAAAGCAGATTAACTTTTCTACAGCATATATACACTGAGTGATTTGCACAAGAAATTAACCATAATATACATGCATGTGCGTGTGTCTCTATCTCTCAGAAAGAACCATGGCTTATTAATTTTTGTATTCTCAGAATATAATAGCATATAGTAGATTCTCAATGCCACCCTCATAGATTAACAGTGAATGTTAATACAGAAAGGACTTTTAAGTTCAAAAGACTTGGGTTTGTGCATCCCTGACTTTTCACTTATTAATCTGCAACGTTAATTTGTGATGGCAGACCAATTACTTATGCCGAGGCTGCTTTAACACGATGCCATATATGAGTTTTTACAAAAAAAATCTTTAAGTTACTATCTGGCACTTTGAAATTCAAAGCTTCTGTTCATACGGCTTATCCTATATTCTATACATCTCTTCTATCAACTCATATCCAATTGATTTCAATGATTTTCAAGAATCATCTGAAATCCTAAATTTTCCATGAAGCCTTCCTTCATAAATTAAAAACATATTGATCACTAATTATTGACTTCTTATAATACTTACACTTTCAGTTACCATATGTTTTATCATATGATTATACTATTTCATCCTATAGACAGAAACTGATAGGCATATAGTATAGTAAAAGCTTACTTAATTAAACTGCAGAGGAAGAATAACCTATAATAATAAAAAATTTTTTAAGAAAAGAATTCCCCGAAGAATTAACTGCATTTTTGTATATATATTCTTTGGCAGGGGGATTTATGTTTCTATTTTAAAGATTACAACCATTGAATCTGGCTTCTTTGAGGGTGGAAAGGAGTTGACTTTCCTTTTTTATTTGTTTTGTTTTTGTTTTCAGTCCACTGGGATAATAAAAGTCAGACAGAATCTTAAGTAATTTTTCTATACCTGAAGAAATCCAACTATCTAGATTTTCTGAAATTGCTCTAGACTTGTGGTCAATGTGGAAGAATTTACTACCATGCTCTAACAAATAGAAGAATGGATAATGACTCTCTTTAGGGTTGGGAAACAAGTTCCTATCCAGAGTCTGACCTACTTCAATAAATTCAGCTGACACTGGCTATGAAATTAGTACTTAAGTTTTAAAAACTGCTAAAGTGCCCTTAAAGCAACCCAGAAGGACAACCCAACTGTACCTATGGGAGCTTCACTTAGGAAGGGCAAAAAGGATTCCGTCCACAGTGATTAATTCTACAAATTCATTTACATAAGATTCAGAATTACATAAAGAAAACATAGTAATGTATATTTACCCAGTTTCAATTTTGTCTCAGTCTCAGAAAAATGAGCTTAAGCACTACTTAAATATTCATTTTATTAATTGTTGAACTATTCATAATTATGTTTGAATTTTAAAAACAAGTAGTTTTGTTGTTAACAATACTTACTGCCTTTAAATGAAAATTTTAAACATTTAAGAGAAGAGAATTCGGCTAAAATTTTCCATGATAAAATGTTCCTTTTGGCCTCATGCCTGTAATCCCAGCACTTTGGGAGGCCGAGGCGGGTGGATTACCTGAGGTCAGGAGTTCAAGACCAGCCTGGCCAACATAGTGAAACCTCATCTCTACTAAAAATACAAAAATTAGCTGGGTGTGGCGGCACACACTTGTAATCCCAGCTACTAAGGAGGCTGAGACAGGAGAATCGCTTGAAACCAAGAGGTGGAGGTTGCAGTGAGCCAAGATTGTGCCATTGCACTCCAGCCTGGGCAACAAGAAAAAAAAAAAAAACTTAAAAGCAGGGGAATAAAGTTAAGGTATAGAGTTTTTGTTAGCTTTCTCTTTGCTTATTTGTTAGTTTTTACAATCAGTGTTAAGTAATCATTAGCTTAAAATAATGACTTAGAAGATGTTATCTGCCAGCCTGGGGAACATGGCCAAACCCCATCTCTATAAAAACACAAAAATAGTCTCAGCTACTTGGGAGGCAGAGGTGAAAGGATCACTTAAGTCTGTAAGGAGGAAGTTGCAGTGAGCCAAGATCATGTCACTTAGGCTGGGCACAGTGGCTCATGCCTGTAATCTCAGCACTTTGGGAGGCTGAGGCAGGCAGATCAGTTGAGGTCAGGAGTTCAAGACCAGCCTGGCCAACATGGTGAAAACTTGTCTCTAGTAAAAATGCAAATTAGCCACGCATGGTGGCATGTGCCTATAATCCCAGCTACTCGAGAGGCTGAGGCAGGAGAATCTCTTGAACCGTCTGTTGTCTACAAGAAACATCCTTCACTTATAAAGACACACATAGA